ATGAAGGTCACATCCACAACGAGGACCACGACCACGATTGAAAAGAAGGTTGGGAACCAGGGCCCTGCGTGTGTAGGGTTTAGGGTTTAGGGTTTAGGGTTTAGGGTTTAGGATTTAGGGTTTAGGGTTTAGGGTTTAGGGTTCAAGGTTTTTAGGGTTTAGGGTTTAGGGTTTAAGGTTTAGGATAATTATTGTTGGAGTTGAGGGCTTAGGGTGCTTCAGGGCGGTACAGGTGTGGCGTAGACTCGGGATGTCCATCGGACAGGTGGGCGAGGATGAAGCAAAAGACGATTCCAAGGAGGATGCCAAGGAGGATGCCAAGGAGGATGCCAAGGAGGATTCCAAGGAGGATTCCAAGGCTTGGACGCACCCTTTTGCTTTTTTTTGGGGATCTAGGTACCCCTATCAACGCCACCAACCCCCAAAAAGGGTTCCCCTTATTGTATCATGGTTACTGGGCTACCAAGAAGGAGGATGCTGCAAATGATGAGAAATCAACAGCCAGCGACGAAGAGAAGGTGGCCGGAAGCTTACTTTGGAGGTTCAGGGGGCGAATGCTAACTAGACCTACCGGCCCCGGAAGTCCCCCCAAGTCCTCTAAGTAGGTTATTAGTGGACTTAACATTGGGGTGAGAAGTACCCATTGAACCTCCAAGTATTTGGTTTCCAAGCACTGCGTGCGTCATCAATCGGTCTTGCGTGCTGTTGCTCCCCCAAACCCTAAACCCTAAACCCTAAACCCTAAACCCTAAACCCTAAACCCTAAACCCTAAACCCTAAATCCTAAACCCTAAACCCTAAACCCTAAGTCCTAAGGCGGCTACTACATACAACTCCTGGGATGCCGACATGGAGAACAAGAAGCTGGGCGATGCCGACATCCTCATCTACGAAGCTTCGGTGCCCGACTCAGGGCCAATGCACATACGCGTACAAGATAAGGGTTTAGGCTTTAGGGTTTAGGGTTTAGGGTTTAGAGTTTATGGGTTAGGGCCTAGGGTCTTGTGTACTTGCGTGAATTCATCAGGACTCTGGCGTCAGCTCGCATGTTGCTGACTTCACCAGCACAGTGAAGGTCCACCTTTGCCCTGCCTCGATTGAGCAAGAAGAAGAATTGGGGTTGTATAATAACCCTGCGGCTTGCGGTTTAGAAAGGAGTGCGCCCGAGTATCGTTTAGCTTGTAAAACGATAAGCAGTCAAAAAAAAACGATAACTTTCTGCAGGGTTTTTGTTGTGTGGCCCCTTACACGCCTAACACCTCTTACACCCCTCACACCCCTAATTTTTGACGTCAAAAACGATAACAAAACGATAACCAGAACGATAACTTTTTGTTCACGATGGGGTCTGTTGAAGGACCTGGACCATTCCAGGGTTGAAGATGTTTGCCCTGTGGTGACTCTGGTCTTAGGGTGTCTCTGGGGGCCTGGTGGTTGAATTGTGCGCCGGGTGAACCGCCCTCAGAAACCTCGCTGTGGCCGGCGTTTCCGTGCAGGTTTGGGTTTGAACCAAGAGCCTTGCGCTAGAACCTAAATACACTCGGTATTAACCCTGAAACCCACGGCTGTAGGCTCAATGTTGAAGCCACCTAGATCCAAGGCTTTGGAATGCAAGCCAACCAGGTGCCCCGAAGCATGTCCTTTTATAAGCAAACGCTGTAAAACGATAAGAATTCTAGCCAACAATACTGTGTTATGTGCGCATACGCTGTAAAACGATAAGGAGAAAAAACGATAGCATTTTTGCGGACCAGCAGGTTTCCATCGGGGTTGTTATTATACAGCCCCAATTGACGATGAGGAGGCGTAACTGTTGCCGTTGACAGCTGCTGTGATCTGGCATTGAAGAGCACACAAAAAGCCCATGCCTCTAAGGTCGTCTGGCCTTGATTGAAAATGATATGCAGTTTCTACGGCCCCAGTTCGTTCTTACAGGGGGTTGCGCACGGCTACTTCAGCGCAGGGCGTCATGCAGTGGGCATCGTCAAGTTCGGTGCTGTAGGCCCCCAGCTCTACATGTGTTAGGGCGCAGGGTTTAGGACTAGGGGTTGGGGTGTTTGCGTTGGGGTGTTTGCGCACTTTCCTGCGAAGCTCACCGAGCGGGGGGCTAAGGCGAGCAGCGTGAGCCTGGTGGCGAAGGAGTGCCTCTTCACAGCCTCTGAGCGGCAAGTCGTGAAAGGTTCCGAGTAGGTCGGGGTTCGTTCAACCCACAACAATGAATGCGCAACAACAACAAGGTCACACCACCTCCAAGTGAACTTTCCCACTACACCTTGCAAGCCCCAAAATCCACAACGCTAAACTCAGGCCTACTCTGGGGGTCCTAGTTTAAGGATTTGTGTGGAGGTTCGGGCGGTGCCCATGTCCTCTCTAGCATCAGGGACAAGCCAGCTCCAGCAAAATGCTGCCAACCATGGCCCCCCATTTCGGGCACACAGGGTTTAGGGTTTAGGGTTTAGGGTGAAGGGTTAAGGGTTAAGGGTTTAGGGTTTAGGGTTTGGGGTTTGGGGTTTGGGGCCTAGCCAAAGCAGCTCCCCCTCCTGATGGCGCCGCATCCCTCTGACCACACTTTACACCTGACTTAGGGCGCAGACACCTCGTAGTAGTGTATTATTCATCATATAATTAGATTCTTATATGATTATACTATGAGATTCTTGGATTGTTATATTCATAGACTTTGAGATTGTTAGACTTCTTATATACTCTAGTAATCAGAATTTTAGATAATTTTATTACATTCTTATTGTAGTACTATGCTACTTACTCGTCTATTACAACGGGACTGTGGCTTCAAGCAAGCTGAGTAGACTTAGGGTTCATTTATTCCCTTTTTCCCCTTAGACCAAAAAGGGCACCCTTTTGTAGTCCTAGGTTACTCTTGGGCCCTGTAAAACTCTGCGGGGGCAGGGCTTCCGGCGAAGAGTCTCCTCTGAGGCGGGTTCGCATACCCGAGCGCGCGCCAACGTGAACAAGATGTGGTGCTGCCTGGCTTCAGGGTGCAGTTTGCTGTGGCTTCAGGTTTCGGACGCTGGGCCTGCTAGGCCCTAAACCCTAAACCCGAAACCCTAAATTGCTCCCCGCTAAGCCTCAAACCCCTGAGGAAGGTCTCATTAGGGCTCAGGGCTCCCCAGGGCAGCAGATCCCCGAAGCTGTCGATTCGAAAATTTGGGCTCCACGCCCTACAGCGCCTATCTAGGTCCTTGGGACCTGTATGCTTTCCCTTCTTGGCTTTAAGAGGATCATATCTGTGGGTTTAGGGTTTAGGGTTTAGGGTTTAGGGTTTAGGGTTTAGGGTTTAGGGGAATGTTTTTGTCAGAGGGTATTAAGGCTTAAGGGCCATCCCAGAGCCCTATAGAGCCCATACGTGGGGAGGTTCATGGTACTTACGAACCAATGATGACTGTACTTTTTTCCACTTGTAAGCCCCTTAAGTGCCCCAATATATATATATATATATAGTTGGGTTATACTTACAGTGATAATTGGTTCATAAGCACCATGAACCTCCAAGTACGGCCCTCTTCCCAGGCTATCCTGGCGCCTACTGGGGCGTCTCCGAGCAGGAAAGTGCGGACGATCCGATTGGCAAAGGCAGGGTGGCGGCATGAGAAGTGGGCTTCAAAACCCTCAAGGCAGACCGGAGGCCCTAAACCCGAAGCCCTAAACCCTAAACCCTAAGCTCTAAGCCCTTAGCATCCCTTAGCCCTAAACCGAATTCGGCCTGAGAGCCAAGTTTGCACAAGTACTTGGGGGGCTGTCCATGGCTTCCTGGCTCGGGCTTAGGGTTTGGGATTCAGGGTTTAGGGTTCGGGGTTTCGGGTTTCGGGTTTCGGGTTTAGGGTTTGGGGTTTAGGGTTTGGGGCTTAGGGTTTAGGGCTTGCGGAGTTCATCGTCGTATCGCCCCACACCCCCCCTCCCGCTGAAGGTTCCCCCCTAGGAAAGGCGAGTTTGAGGAGAACTATACTAGGCCGAACTATGACTTCAAAGCATGCGGCGGACGTTTTCTGCCTTAACTAAGCTCTCTAACCCTAAATGCTAAACCCCAAGCCCTAAACCCTAAACCCTAAACCCTAAACCCTAAACTCTTAACCCCCAAGCTCTCCAACCCTATGCCCCGACATTCCCCGCAAGCTCAGACAATGAAGCGCAAGCCCGAAACCCGGCACCCTCAGACCCGCTCCGGTGTGTTTGGGTTTTTTTAGGGGGTTTCGGGTCTCAGGGCTTTGAGGGTTTTGGTTCTTTAGGGCCTTCAGGTTTTAGGGCCAGCCTAAACCCTAAACCCTAAACCCTAAACCCTAAACCCTAAACCCTAAACCCTTTAAGCGTTTAGGGGGTTGAGGGGGACCCAAAGTTGGGCCCAGGTCCGGTTCGCGACCTGGCGCTGCTCCCTCCGGCGGACGCGGAGGGCGCGCAGTCCATCGTCTTGCGTTGCCTGGCATGGGGCAGGGTTGAGGGTTTAGTTAGGGTTTCGGGTTTAGGGTTGAGGGTTGAGGGTAGGGTTTTGGGTTTTGGGTTTTGGGTTTTGGGTTTTGGGTTTTGGGTTTTGGGTTTTGGGTTTTGGGTTTTGGGTTTTAGGTTTAGGGCATGGAGACAATGGCATCGTTCATAATGTCATTTGGCGATGATGCCCAAAACACCGTTGTCTTTTTTGCCGCATTTTTGCCTCTGTACAGGGACGTTTGACGTTTCTGGTACAGGACATGTTGTCACAAGCGTTCATGCCTTTCGCGAACATGGCGCCAAAAGACTCGACTCCTGTCGTGCGTGCAATCTTTTCTTGGAGGCCCAAGATGTTTTTGGAAAAATCGTATTAACCCTTAGGACTTTGGTTAGCACTTTCGACACCCCCGTGTCACAGGGCAACCTGTGTGCCAGTATGCGCCCGCACCCTAGTACTTACCAATGTTATCCGGGCCTGCGTAAAATCAGAAGTAGCAACCACCCAACAAACCCCTAAACCCTAGACCCTAAACCCTAAACCCTAAACCCGAAACCCTAAACCCTAAACCCTAAACCATGCACATGAACTGGGCCCCTGTGTTGGGGTGTGGGGTCGAAAGCTGTAGGGCCCTATGGCCTTGAGGGTTTTGGGTTCATCGTCTCCAGATGTTTTCAGTCCGCAGAAGTGCTTGGTGTAGGGATTGAGAAGGATTCGGGCTAAGGAGCTTAGGTTTAGGGTTGGTTTTAGGGTTTGGGGTTTAGGGTTTAGGATTTGGGGTTTAGGGTTTGGGGTTTAGGGTTTAGGGTCTGGGGTTTAGGGTTTAGGGTTGGTTTCGAGCTGAAGAGTGTGGATGTTGAGTGCTTGGAGTCTGGCGAGTTTGGCAGATCTCGGCCACGGCGTTTGCAACGGCAGAAGGGGGAACAACACAACCTTGATGTTACGCATGGACTGCGGCACTCCAGCCTTTGGCTCTCTGCTTTAGGCTATATCCCCCTTGGGAATCATTTTTTGTTTTTGTTCATATAAAACCCAAGAGGATATTAAATATATATTTTTTGTTGAGGTTCTAAGGGGAGTATAGTAGGGTTTCAGGGTGAGGATTGAGGTTTGAAGGTGCAGGCTTTACGGTTTAGGGTTTTGCCTCCTCTGGTTTAGGCCCTAGGCTCGAATCCCAGAACTTCATGCCACAAACCCTAAACCCTAAACCCTAAACCCTAAACCCTAAACCCTAAACCCTAAACCCTAAACCCTAAACCCTAAACCCTAAACCCTAAACCCTAAACCCTAAACCCTAAACCCTAAACCTAAACCCTAAACCCTAAACCTAAAACCTAACCCTAAACCCTAAACCCTAAAGCCCTAAAGCCCTAAAGCCCTAAAGCCCTAAAGCCCTAAAGCCCTAAAGCCCTAAAGCCCTAAAGCCCTAAAGCCCTAAAGCCCTAAAGCCCTAAAGCCCTAAAGCCCTAAAGCCCTAAAGCCCTAAAGCCCTAAAGCCCTAAAGCCCTAAAGCCCTAAAGCCCTAAAGCCCTAAAGCCCTAAAGCCCTAAAGCCCTAAAGCCCGCCCTAAAGCCCTAAAGCCCTAAACCCTAAAAAGCCCTAAAGCCCTAAAGCCTAAAGCCCTAAAAAGCCCTAAAAAGCCCTAAAGCCTAAACCTAAACCCTAACCCTAAAACCTAAACCTAAACCCTAAAGCCCTAAAGCCCTAAAGCCCTAAAACCCTAAAGCCCCCTAAAATCCCTAAAGCCCTAAAGCCCTAAACCCTAAACCCTAAACCCTAAACCCCTAAACCCTAAACCCTAAACCCTAAACCCTAAACCCTAAACCCTAAACCCTAAACCCTAAACCCTAAACCCTAAACCCTAAACCCTAAACCCTAAACCCTAAACCCTAAACCCTAAACCCTAAACCCTAAACCCTAAACCCTACCTTCGAGCATCTTTCAGGCGTGGCGCGTCGGGGGTAGATCTTTTCATCTTTTGGGCAGGCTGGGCTGGCAGCCGCAGCCTCTAAGGGAGGAGTGTTGTCTAGAAACCCCTACACTCCCCGAAGCCAAGAGCCTCTAAACCCTAAACCCCTAAACCCCTAAACCCCTAAACCCCTAAACCCCCCAAAAAACCCCTAAACCCCTAAACCCCTAAACCCCTAAACCCCTAAACCCCTAAACCCCTAAACCCCTAAACCCCTAAACCCCTAAACCCCTAAACCCCTAAACCCCTAAACCCCTAAACCCTAAACCCTGGACCCTAAACCCTAAACCCTAAACCCATGAGGCTTCACAATCCCCCGCGCCGGCAACTACTCCCTCGACCTCTTGGGTGCCAAGCGCTACAGGGGAGGCCCAGAAACCATGGCTTAGGGTTTGGGGTTTAGGGTTTAGGGCTAGGGTTTAGGGTTTAAGGTTTAGGGTTTAGGGTTTAGGGTTTCGGGTTAGGGTTTAGGGTTTGAGGGTTTAGCAATCCGAAACCCCCCAAAGGCCCCACCCTAAGCCCGAAGCCCTAAGCCCTAAGCCCTAATCCTGAAACCTAAACCTCGAAGCTCTACAGCCCTCTCAGCCCTTGCATCCCGCAACCTGCGGTCAGGGGCCAGTTTAGGGTTTAGGGTTTATGGTTTGGGGTAGCCAGTCTTGGGGTACTAGGTATGTCTGTTGCCATGGCGGGCGAGGTGAGTGCTAGTTTGGACCTTCAGGGCATCAGGTGTCTTGAGGATCCCTAAACCCTAAACCCTAAAACCTAAACAACCCCCCTTATACTAGCAGTCCTTAATAGGATTGCAGTAGCCCCCAAAACCAAACCCTTAAGCAGGAACTGGCTTCATCAATGCCGCGGTGTACGCCAAGGATGCCGAGAAGGTTACAGTGCGCGAGCTCAGCGTGGGAACCAGGGGACACAGTGCTTCTGCTTAAGGCTTCGGGTTTTGGGTTTGGGGTTGAGGGTTCTTTTAGGGTTTAGGGCTGCAGAGTGTCTTCACAGATCCTGGTAGCACCTAGATCTGGATCCAGCACGATTTCTTCCACCAAAGCTGAAATTCCGACGCACCAGACCCTTGCGCCCTGTATACACCCAAGGGTTCAGAAGCCTAAACCCTAAACCTTATACCCTAAACCCTAAACCCTAAACCCTAAACCCTAAACGCTAAACCTTATTCCCTAAACCCTAAACCCTAAACCCCAAACCCTAAACCCTAAACCCTAAACCCTAAACCCTAAACCCTAAACCCTCAAACACCCAAACCCCCAAACCCCCAAACCCCCAAACCCCCAAACCCCCAAACCCCCAAACCCCAAACCCCCAGACCACCAGACCCCCAGACGCCCAGACCCCCAGAATCCCAGACCCCCCAGACCCCCAGACCCCCAGACCCCCAGACCCCCAGACCCCAGACCCCCAAACCCCCAAACCCACGTGCATCATGAGCTTGCCCCCAGTTGGTGCATGTCTCCGACGCCACGCTGCCGACGGCAGAGAATGGTGAGAACAAGGCTGCCAGCATGCGGGCTGTAGCCCTAAACCCTAAACCCTAAACCCTAAACCCTAAACGCTAGACCCTAAACCCTAAACCCTAAACCCTAAACCCTAAACGTTAAACCCTTCTTGGGATCCCTTTTTGAAGGGTGCCGCCTAAAGTAGGGGACCCAACAAAAAGGGACCCTAATTTCGAGAACTCCCCAAGGGCATTTCGGGGTTCATGGGCTGTGGGTTTAGGGATGTGGGCTTAAGGAGATTTGGGGTTTGTAGGGTTTCTAGGGTTTATAGGGTTAGTATGGTTTATAGGGGCTTATAGGGTTTACAGGGTTTATAGGGTTTACAGGGTTTGTAGGGTTTATAGGCAGTTTATAGGGTTGAAAGGGTTTCTAGAGTTCTAAGGTTTAAGGGTTTAGGGTTTGACAGGATTTAGGCCATCCCCCTCTTCAAGTGGATCCCATAGATTACACCATGCAGAATGATACTTCTTCTCCTGGGTTGCTATACGGTGTAGGGTTTTGGGGTTTAGTGTTCAGGGTTTAGGGTTTTGGGGTTCAGGGTTCAGGGTTCACAGTAATGGGAGGAAGCACAGTGCACCATCAACCCAAAACCCTCTCTGGCCAGCCAAAAAGTATGCATGGGAATCGTCGTGTGCAGCAGTAGAGGTGCCAAGTTCTGCCTGCCTCTGTCCTGAACCCTGAACCCTGAACCCTAAACCCTAAACCCTAAACCCTAAACCCTAAAACCCTGAACCGAGGTCTACCAGCTGGGAATCCTTGAAGCAGGCGACTTCCTCTACTTTACCGCCAACAACGCGGGCGACGGCATCGACGACGATGACACCAGGATCCGCTTTCGGATCACCGCCGTGGCGCAGGCAAGGGCTCCGGGGGGGCTTAGGCTTAGATGGTATGCTCTAGCTTATGCCGAAAATCGTCCCCCAAACCCTAAACCCTAAACCCCTCGAATGCTTAATTTGCAGTGTAGGTTTCCGGCTAGGAATCTAATAAAGGGTTTTGTAGTCGTAGCCTACAAAAAGGTAGGTTGAGGGTTCTTAAGGAATACGCTCTGTAATTAGGTGAGCAGGTATCCTTGCCCGAAGCCCTAAACCCTAAACCCTAAACCCTAACCCCTAAACCCTAAACCCGAAACCCTAAACCCTAAACCCTAAACCCTAAACCCTAAACCCAGGTCTTCCCGGTCTGGTGGGGACTTGGCGTCTCAATTGGTGTGGTGGCGGTGGTTCATGGTACGTACATATGAACCAATTACAACTGTACTTTTAGGGTTTAGAGTTTTAGGGTCTAGGGTTTAGGGTTTAGGGTTAGGGCACTTTAAGGGGCTTACAAGTGGGGTGCAAAGTACAGTGATCATGGGTCAGGAAGTTCCATGAACCTCCAGGTGGTGGCGGTGGTTGTTGTCAGGTTTTACATACCAACAGCTTAAGAGAGCCCCACGTTGGGATGTTCCCCCTTATACTAACAGTCCTCATAGGGATGATAGTAGGGGATGCTATAATCCTATTAAGGATTGTTGGTATAAGGGGGGAACATCCCAAGCCCAACGCGACAAACTTGCAGCTTCATGTTCAGAGTTTGGGATGCACTCAACCTCGAAGTGTGTTCGTTAATTCGAGGGCTTTGCTGCGTTGTTTTGCCCTTTGCCCCAGAGCCCTGGAACGTCTCACCCACGACGGCCAAACCTCTGACACCTTGTTGGCTCTTGACCCTCAGGGGAAGTTTGAAACCAGAAAGGCTTCCTCAGCCAATGCCAGTGTGACAAGTTAGAACAGTGGCCCGCAGTGGCCCTGTTCACCTGTGCCTACCTTGCCGAGTTTGTAGTAAAGGGGTCGGAATAATTACAAGTAGTATTCTCTTATGGTCCCTTTATGAATGTACTATAATAACCCCCAAAACCATACTCGAATTATTAAGGCACCTATATTCGAGGGTTATCTACCATTTAGGAGTCCTGTGGGTCATTTCTGGGTTCCGGTGCTAGGCTGTAACTGGGGTGAGACTGCTCGCGCAATGTACGGGCTGTCTGTTTCCTCCCGTGCGCTTCTCCATGCAACTTGGCGATGTTGAGAACAAACGGGAGTTTAGGGTTTCCACTTCCTTGTTTTTTGTTTTTTTATTTTGTATACATATATATATATATAAATCTACATTAATCTATTTATTTCTTTTTTTTTTTGGGGGGGGGGGGGGGCTCTAACTGGGCAAGAGTACGCCGCCGAGGCCTGCAAAGAACACATCATACAGGGGGCCATCTCGTGAGACTGGAGCTTTCACCCTAAGCCCTAAACCCTAAACCCTAAACCCTAAACCCTAAACCCTAAACCCTAAACCCTAAACCCTAAACCCTAAACCCTAAACCCTAAACCCTAAACCCTAAACCCTAAACCCTACTTCTCGAGGCCATGGAGGCGAGAGTCAAGAAGCTGTCGGAACTGAAGTCCCTCAGAGAACGGCTGGCTGACCAGTTGCTTCTCAGTGGGCCCAAGTGGGGGCATCTTGTGTTTTCCCTTCTTGGGGTTAAGGGGGGTTTAGAATTAGGGGTTTAGGGGCTTAGGGGTTTAGGGGTTTGGGGGTTTAGGGTTTAGGGTTTAGGGTTTAGGGTTTAGGGTTCTTTTTCACAGGAAGTTTCAAGGGCCATCCGAGGTTCGCGGAGAACCCAGACTCGGTGAGCAGCTTCACCGTGACCGTGGACAAGAGCCCGGGTGTCGCAACTGGCAGCTTTTGTTCGGAGAAGTTTCAGCCCTTTGGGGTTTAGGGTTTAGGGTTTAGGGTTTAGGGTTTAGGGTTTAGGGTTTAGGGTTTAGGGTTTAGGGCTCCGAAGCTCACTGACACAGCACGTCAGTAACTTGCCTTGGGGTTTGGGGGGATTTGCATTCAGGCTCCAAAGCGCACTGACACGGCACGTCAGTATCTTGAGGAAACTCAGCAAGAACCGAACATCCCTAAACCCTAAGCCCTAAACCCGAAACCCGAAACCCGAAACCCGAAACCCGAAACCCGAAACCCGAAACCCTAAACCCTAAACCCTAAACCCTAAACCCTAAACCCTACACCCTCACCAGGAATGATGCCCCAGCCATCCTCATTGGCATCGACCCTTCCAGCGACAGAGGCTCCGTGATCCTGCCAGCAGAGCCTTGCGACCCAGTGGTTCTCCTTTTTGGAGTTTAGGGTTTAGGGTTTAGGGTTTGGGGTTGGGGTTTTGGGTTTGGGTTCCTTTCTAACTTACTATAATGCCCCCTCGAAAGGCCCCCCAACAGGAAAAAACCCTAAACCCTAAACCCTAAACCCCAAACCCCAAACCCTAAACCCTAAACCCTAAACCCAGGAGCTGCGGGATGTGAACGTGATTTTCGAGACCGTGCCCCGCACGGTCGAGGTACCGCTCAAGGACGACGAGCCGTGAAAGAGCTTTATAGGGTTTAGGGTTTGGGTTTAGGGTTTAGGGTTTAGGGTTTAGGGTTTAGGGTTTAGGGTTTAGGGTTTAGGGTTTAGGGTTTAGGGTTTAGGGTTTAGGGTTTAGGGTTTAGGGTTTAGGGTTAGGGTTTAGGGTTTAGGGTTTAGGGTTTAGGGTTTAGGGTTTAGGGTTTAGGGTTTAGGGTTTAGGGCCCCCTGATGCGGACGTAAATTGCGCGTGTCTCCACAGACAGACCTCACATCTGATTCCTAAGTCTCGAAGTACGAGCCGTCAAAAGATGACATAAAAAAGGTAGATGATAGTTGAATCATCTATACATACACATTAATATGTATCTATATATGTATATAGAGAGAGACATGGGGGTTTACGAAAATAAGGGACCCCTAATTTCGGAAACTCCCGTATAGAAGGAAACCCTGGAACTGGAGACATACGCGCCACCTCTCCGACGCCCTTAGAAAGGGCTGAAGGGCTGTCCAAACATGCGAGCCCTCAGATACCTCTCTGAGGATACTGTGGGAGCTTTAGGTTTTAGGGTTTAGGGTTTGGGGTTTAGGGTTTGGAGTTTAGGGTTTATGGTTTAGGGTTAAGACTAGACGCAGCTTGTCAATTCAACTTCCACACCCCGGTGTTTGAATGCACATGTGACATAGCACCCGGGAATCCGGCTGCTTCCTCCCATGGTTAGTAAAGGAAGCTGGCGGGTTCCGCTGAGCTAGTACCAAAATCGGTACACCCAGAGAACCTAATGCCCTGAGTTAGGGCACATACCTTTCATTCAAGAGAGGATGCTTATGGGATCTCGACTATGTGCCCCAGTCAAGTTCGAACTAAGGCATGCTTCCTTGATGTTGTGCCCTAAACCCTATATCCTAGGTCCTAGACCCTAAACCCTGAGCCCCAAACCCTAAGCCCTAAACCCTAAACCCTAAACTCTAAACCCTAAACCCTCAACCCTAAACCCTAAACCCCAAACCTTGGACCCGCCTTAATGCTCCTTATTGCACGGTACTGGGTTCCCTGGGCATCTCAACACTTGAGGTGGCTTGGATCAGCACAGGACTGTCCGAGTTGAAACTCCACGAAATTCCCAGAGACGGAAAGAAGCGTCCGAGGAGGGTTTAGGGTTTAGGGTTTAGGGTTTGGGGTTTAGGGTTTAGGGTTTAGGGTTTAGGGTTTAGCTTTCAGGGTTTAGGGTGGGGGGGTGAACTCTAAGCTCTGCATAAAGACTTCTACGTTTCTGGAGACCCTCAACGGGCCAAGAATTGCCCCCCCCCCCCCCCTCCGCAAAAAAAAGGCAAAAACAAATCACAAATCACAGACGACACTCTGTGCCGAGAAGTAGCTCTAATTTGAGGGACGCCCAGGTCCACAGCAATCCTCAAGCCTCAAGCCCCTAAACCCTGCAACCCCCTAAAACACGAAAAGCGCCCTAAGCCCTTTAAAACCCTGCATATCCTGAAGCCCTGTAAGCCCGCCTTTAAACCATGATAATAAAGACCTCACCTGACATAATCTCTCCTCCCCTCCCTCTCCCTCTCCCTCTTTCTCTCCCGCGCTCCCTCTCCCTCTCCCTCTCCCTCTCCCTCTCCCTCTCCCTCTCCCTCTCCCTCACCCGGCCTCCGCTGGAACAGAATGCCGTTGCGACATCGGAGCTGCAAGCTGCCCTCGCCACTCGCTGCCAGAGGGGGTCTGGTCTAGGTCCCTATTCTAGGACCTTATATAAGGTCTAAACCCTAAACCCTAAGCCCTAAACCCTAAACCCCAAACCCTAAACCCTAAGACCCTAAGACCCTTAGGCCCTTAGACCCTTAGACCCTTAGACCCTTAGACCCTTAGACCCTTAGACCCTTAGACCCTTAGACCCTTAGACCCTCAGACCCTCAGACCCTCAGACCCTAAACTCTAAACCCTAAACCCTAAACCCTAAACCCTAAACCCTAAACCCTAGATGTTGTTGGCGCTTGAGGACTTGAGGAACGGTTTTGGGAGGCTTCGATCCGCGGGTGCAGGGAACAGGGCGTAAGGGATGAGGGCGTAGGCGTAGAGTTTAGGGTTAGGGTTTAGGTTTAAGGGTTTAGGGTTTAGGGTTTAGGGTTTAGGGTTCGGGGGTTACGCCTTGGGATTCGCCTTTGTACAAACAGTCCTTTACGGGGATTATAGTACCCCCCCCCTATTGTATTCTTATCAAGGACGGTCAAGGGGAACATCCCAAGCTTCTCCCTAAACCCTAAGCCGGAAATTCGTGCGTCTGTTTGAAGAGGGCTCAGGGCTAACAGTGGTATACTCAGGGGGCTCATGTCTTCCGGCTAGTACTGCAGCTTTGCTTGTGTCAGCTCCAAGAGGCACAGGAACACCTAAGGCCCCGGAAGGGTCTTAGGGGTTTAGGGTATAGGGTTTAAGGTTCATGGTTTAGGGTCCAGGGTTTAGGGTCCAGGGGTTTCGGGTGCTTGTGCTGAGAGGTTTTTAGAGTTCAGGGCTTCAGGCTATTGTGGGTTTGGCTCTAGGGTTTCGAGCTCCCCCAAAGCCCCTAAACCCTAAACCCTGTACTAAAAAATCGCATTTTTAATAGGGACCCGGGGCCGATCCTGGGGTCCCCCCTCATTTGGGGTGCTTTTAGAGGCAAACTTTCCCTCTCAAGGGGGGGTCGGAGTTTGAGGCAAGGGGGGGTCTCCGAAGACTATTTTGCCTTTAAAATTGAAAAATGCCATCCCCCCCTTCACCAAAACTAGCCTGTGAAAAGGTCGCGGGGGCGGCCCTTCATCAGAACCGAGGCTTAACAACCCTAAAACACCTTGAACAACATTGAAAAATCGCAACAAAAACATTGAAAAACTCTGAAAAACCTTGAAAACCGTGAAAAACTTGAAATCCTGAAACCGGTGAAGGCTCGGTTTTGGTCAAAAAACCCAGAAAACGAGAGCCCACCCAGGACCGTCGGATTTCAGTACTAAAAAATCTCATTTTTAATAAGGACCCGGGCCGATCCTGGGGTCCCCCCCTCATTTGGGGTGTTTCTGGAGGCAATCTTTCCCGCCACGCACGCCGCGCACACGCCAGGCACGCCGCGCACGCCACGTACGCGCGCACGCCCGCGCACGCCCGCGCGCGCGCTCGAACGAACTCGACCGAATACCACGTATACGCACGACACACCATGTCGACACGTCGTATATTGTCGTTTCCCCCCCCCCCCCCCCAGGGCGGCCATTTTATAGGCATCCGATCCTCCTGGGCAGGGGGCCAGGCCAGTCAGTCATTTTATAAAAAACGATATTTGTGCGACGTGGACTTGACAGCTTCACGCGCGAATCTTCGCCGAGGGCCGAGGCGGCCATTCTATAACTCGGAAGGCGCGCGCACGTAGGTCAGACGCCCAGGAGGGCCATTTTATAAACCGATTTTCTTTCGAAATGACCCGCTGGACGCCCCCCCCTATTCTGCGGGGGGATGCAATTGTAGTATAAGTATGTTAGCGTGCCCGTCCTCATAAATGAAAATAAACTGAAAAGAAGCACTGGCTAAAGTGACTTGATGAAAGCAAGAAAGTCACCCAGCACGCGCCAGAATGGGCTGCAACTCGCTTGACTCTTCTGAAGAATCACAAACTGGCAACAGGTAAGCGAAGAACCACCGAATATCAGAGTGATATGCGTAGCTGGCAGACTGAAGTACGTGCCTGTCAGACCCCTCAAGAAAAGCCACAGGTCAGCCAAGTACGACAGTCAAACCTTGAGTAGCTCTAGCAGTCTGGCAAGGATGGACAATATGGACACATTTGACCTTGCGACCTTGCGATTGCTGCGCGTATCTTTGCATGGCCTGCGCAGAGAAAAGCCGATTTCGCTTGCGCTGCATCTTGGTCCTGAGGCCTAATTGTGTGCCCCTTTGCACAGAGTGCTTCGCTCGATTCGGGTGAGATTTCGCTGCCATGCCGCGCGTGTCCGAGCTGGGCCAAGCTGTGCAACAAGCCATCATGAAAGACATGGCGGTGCTCATTGCGCAGTCAGGCCAGGTGTGTCTGTGTGTGTCTGTGCGTGCAGTTGAGTGTCTGATGCATGCCAACAAAGGCGGACATGTGGCGTGGGCATGCGGGCAGAGCGGAGAGCGGAGGGAGAGGGCAAGGGAGAGGGAGAGGGAGAAACAACGGAGATCGCAACAGATAGAAGCTGTGCCACTTGCCAGATGTGAAGCGCGATCACATCGAGCGCTCCCTTTCCGGGGGCAAGAATTCATTTGTCACGGTGACGTTCTCCCCGAAGACCGGCGAGATCCATGCTGCCGTGGCATGGCAACAGAAACCCGGGCAGCCGGAAATCTTCATTGACCTTGCCCTTGGTGCCCCCCGCCAGTCCAAAACGGACAGGCGCCAGGGGGGCTATGCCCAAGACTTGGTCAGCGGCCTCGAGGCCTGCTGACGTTCATGTGATGTATGTGTGGCTTATCTTAGCAGTTGGCACTTGGCCCTGCTAGGGGTAGTAATCCACCAGAGCTAAGAGGGACCACGGGTGCTGTTTCTTAGCAATTAACAGTTAGTCCTGCTGGGGCAGCAAGCCATTTTTGGGCAAGATCCGAGTGCTTTGCTCGGAGCACTGCTACTGAAGCAGTTCGGGTTCTTCTTGGCAGGCACGGCTCCAGCGGTTCGAGAAGGGTGGCAAGTTGTCCCTCAATCATACGCCCGTTTCCCAAGCGATTTGGGAATCCCGCGGGTTCAAGGAGGAAGGCACACTGATGGAAAAACGTGTGGAGGCGGGGCGTCTGCATTGACATAGTTTGACATAGTTGTGTATACCTTCATAACTTCTTGGGTTTTTTAACGCGGTTGAACCTAACTTACAAAGTCTCTTTCTCGTCACCTGCCGCCCTCGCTTGTTCCTGCAATCTGCCAACAGTTTATCCAAGCTTTTTACACAATATCAACAAGCATCAACAGAACCCTTATTGCCAACGTTCCAGGCACGGCAGCTTGACAGCGAGCCCAAAAT